TCACACTATGAGGTCACACCGCTGGGTTTTCATTGGTGGAATAAAAAGTGTGAATTGGTTAAACTCAGAAAAGGAAAGCTTGGAGCGTTAATGAACAAATCAGTGGATCAAACAGCTTCTTATCTTCTGATTTACGTTTTATAGAGTTCAGAGTTTCTCTTTGCTACAAACCAGAAGGAGTTTAAATGAATGATCAGTGAATCATGAACATGAAGATTCTGGGTTTCCTCTGATCATCTGAGTGTTTGTGGACATTTCATTCCCTGCTTCACTCAGACTTTATGTTCTTTGAGTCAAATGCAGCGCGACGTTCTTCACAGGAAGCAGAAATAAAAGAGTTTAAACGTCCGTAAACAGACGCTTTAGCTGCAGTGACGTGAATCACTGGACTTTTGTTTCAGTCTAACACTAAACTAAAGTCGGTTTCTTTTGTACAGACAGCAGAACCAGTACATGTCCGATGTGATTCTGTCTGAAGCACACATGACCTGAACAGTGTGTTCTGTTGATCTGTAACCGTCCGGTACCGGCTGTTGGTGAACTTTGGGTCTGTTTCTCTCCTCCTCCTCCTCCTCCTCTCCACGCTCCTCCTCCTCCTTCTCTTCTTCGAGCAGGACGACAAATACTGGGCTCGGCGCCGGAAGAACAACATGGCGGCCAAGCGGTCCCGAGACGCCCGGCGACTGAAGGAGAACCAGATCGCCATCCGGGCCGGGTTCCTGGAGAAGGAGAACTCGGCGCTGAGGCAGGAGGTGGCCGAGCTGAGGAAGGAGCTGGGCCGCACCAAGAATGTTCTGGCCAAATACGAGGCTCGGCACGGGCCGCTGTGAGGCGCCGAGCGCACCTGTAAATACCTGTACACACCTGTAGAGCTCCGCCCACCAGCAACCCGCCGCACGGCTCCACCCGCAGCCGCAAAGTCCGGTTTATAGAAACACGACTGTCAACAAATCTCATGAGAGCGTCCAAGCAGCCGCGACGGGTTCATCTCCAGAACCCTCGTGGTCCTTCACTGGTCCATGTTCTGCAGCTCTGAGGAACCAGAACCAGAACCACATGAAGGAGGAGACAGAACTCAGACAAACACGTTGAGTTTCTGTTGCGCAGAACGTTTTTAACAGAACGTTTTGATGATTTTGGGGGAATTTTTAAAAGAAACGCGTTATTTTAATGAATTCTTGTTTGTTCATCAGTCTTTCTGTTTTTAAAGCGCCGCCGCCGCCGTGGAGGCTCCTCCCCCTGGAGGCTCCTCCCCCTGGAGATGTTTTAACGTTTGGCCTCCTGAGAACTCTGAATGTTTACGGGTTTTAACTGAATTTTATAGCAAACTGCTTATTTTTACTTAATTTTTAAAGCAGACGTGTAAAATAAAGCAGTTTTGATAAAACATCGCCGAAAACTGGCGTCATTTTTATACACGATGCGTTCAAGGGCTGTTAGAAAGTTGGACATCTGACGATTCTTTCAGACTTTTTTGTCTTTTGAGGTTCGGAGGTTAAACTTTGCTCGGCGGCGGCGGCGGCGGATGGATCCATGAGATTTGTTGACGGGTGTTTTTCTTCTGGTTTTTGTCCGTACGGTGACGGTGGAGCCGACGACGCGCTCGGCTGCAGGTCGTTCCCACGATGCACCTGTGCAGCACCTGTACATAGCTGCTCCTCCTCTCCGCCCCCACCTCCTGCTCTCTGGTGTCAGATTAACTGTGTTGATATTTATGGAAACGTATGAAGAACGTTTAATCAGATTTTAATCAAAGTGCCCTGAAACGCCAAAAGCTTTACGAAGCAGCTCCCAGACAGGTGCGTTTGTGACGACGCCCAGGTGTACGCTGACATCAGGGAGCGTTTTTAACCCTCTGAACTCGTCTTAACTCGCTGAAGTTTCAGCATCAAGTCCTGCAGCTCTGAGGAACCAAAACACGAAGCAGGAGGACTCAGAGACTGTCAGCAGGACGGCAGATAGACAGAAAAATCAGTCACATTTCATTAGTTTATTGTTTTAAATAAACCTCCACAGCTGTTGGCGACACCAGAAAACACGTTAACTCGGCCTGTTGTAAACGTTCTACGACTTTAAACTGACTTTCATTTCGCCTCCAGCAGCTCGGTGTGCACGCTGCCGGCAGTTCAACCCAGTTGAGCCAAAACACTTCCAGAATTTTCTTCGTGCGACTGTTGGTCCCGGCCCAGTCACTGGTGGTTCTGCTGTTGCACCAAAGAACCGAGAATTTTTTATTTTTCACAGAATCTAGTTAAAGCCAAAACTTAATTTTTGGCAGATTTTTGAATGTGATGTGCAAAATAAAATTATTAATTTTCACTCGTGATGCTTTCAAGGACAGTCAGAAAGTTTTTTTTAAAAATCTGATATCTTTGGTGATTTTGTTGGAACGTGACTTTCAAACCCGCCGGCGGGTTTCAGAGTTCGGAGGGTTAAAATGTGACACCAGCAACTCGGAGAAGAACCCAAAGACGGTTTTCAGTTTGTTTTCTTTGAACGCAGTCGGCTGAGACGAGACTTCCCCCCGTTCAGATCCGTCCAACCCCGTCCTCTCGTGGCGGTTTGTTCTCTGCAGAACTTTAAAACCAACAGAGTTTCTACAAAACGAATCAAAGCCACGTTTTTACGTCGAGTTTTAAGGAAACTTGAAGCAGGTTTCTGATAAATGTGAAGCTGCTCTGAGCGTTAAACTGTCGGTTAGTCCCCTGAACGCACCGCTCAGGTGGGACGGCTTCAAGACGGTTTGTTTCTGGCACGTTTCTATGAGACGTGTCGAATGAAGTGACAGAATGTGACGTTTAGTTTGAGATCAGTTTTAATTTTTCCCAAAACCGTGAGAGCCACAGCTGTTAGCTGTTAGCTGTTAGCTGTTAGCAAGGCTCCCCGTGTTAACGAGACGGTGAATTATTTACAGCTTTCATCCGTTTCTAGACTCGCTTCAGTCCTGCTGTGAGTCCGTCGGGCTTCATAGAGAAGAACTAAACGTTTGTTTTACAGAATCTGCCTAAAACTTGTTGTTTGCAGATTTTTACGTGGTTTGAGATTTGAGGCTCAGATTCGGTTCGTTCTGTCGACGGAGCTGCTCGGCCGGAGGCGGTTCTTTCTGCTTTTACACTTTGTGGCTCATAAATGAAGTCGTTCTGCTGATTGTGTTTTTCTGGTTGGACCTGCCGGCAGGTTTCGGGGCTCAGACGGTTAAACCGTCCCTC